GCTGACTACAGGAAGCCCGAGGCACAGTTGCTCTGCCCTGGACTTCCTGGAATCAGCTGCTGATCAGTTTCAGCAGCAGCTGACTTGGGGATGCCTGGTGTTCTTACCTTGAATCTGTATGTAAGTGGAACTGGTGTCCAGATTCAGCAGCTGTTGAAACTGATCAGTTTCAGCAGCGGCTGATGCCAGTTCTGACTTACATACAGATTCAACTTAAGAACAAACCTACAGTCCCTATCTTGTACGTAACCCGGGGACTGCCTGTGTATCATGTAGCTGCGAGCACGGAGTCCGAACTACCAGGGCTTTAAAAATCGCGGTGCCCGGCAAGATGCAAATGAAGCCCGGGATATTTAAATCCCGGGCTTCATTTGCAACTTTGGTTGCCTACATTAACCACCCTAGTTCAAACTAGGGTGGTAGTGTAGACATACCCTAAGGGAAGATGGGCCTTCCTGATTTGTGGGGACTGAAAAAAAGAGAACCTTTGGGATTTGTCATTTTGTAAGCACATGACTGGCTATGTTAATTTCTTAAAGTAATATATAAGATAAAAGTATTTCCAATAAAATATGCTATGTTAATGTAATTGACGTAGTTCATTCATCACACCTTTTATTCGATTTTCCCTGGGCAACACCAGGTATTTCTGCTAGTAAATAATATTTCTGACATTGAACTACAAATAATTTTAGTGAAACACACAAATGGCTACTTCTAATATGATTTTTTTTACATTAGCTGACTTTAAGGCTTCTGCAATCAAATTTTTTATTTTTGTTAATTAGCGATTTTACAAGTTAAAACAGTCATAACAGTTGGCAAGTACATAAAATAAATAAATAAAATTAAAATCTCAAATTGCAGAAATTGATGTTAGTATTACATAGGGGGAGATCTACACAGCAGCGTTATTTTGAAATAAATAGTGTATTTCAAAATAATAAAGTGAGCGTCTACACGGCAAGCCCCTTATTTCAAAATTATTTTGAAATAATGGGCTGCTTCTTCCAAAAATCAGTAAACCCTCATTTTATGAGGAATAACGCCTATTCAAAATACAGCATGTATAAACAGCACAGTTGTGGCTATTTCGAAATAAGTGGCCATCAGGGCTTCTCACAAGTGCCTTGTGACCCCTCTGTCCACAATCTATAGTTCTCCTTCCCGTGCAGGCTTTAATGGTACAGCCTTGGTGCACACAACACAGGCTCATGCATGCACTCCCAGGGTAGTATCTGCTCCTGGGCTAGTTGAGTGAGGCTGAGGACTCTCAGCCCCAGCTAGGGGAGCCTGCTGGGAGGGGAAGGAAGTGGCAGGGACCCCAGTAGCACCCTCCCCAGCAAGCTGTGTCTGCCACTCACACACACCTTCCCCCACCACCCTCCCCCCTGTCTGGCAGCGGGCAGGGATAAAAGTCCTCTCCCTGTGGAACGCTGCCACTGCCAGTCCCAGTGTGTGTGTGACACAGAGGGAGGTCAAGTCACCCCTCGCTCCCCTCTTGCCCACACGCTCCTGGCCTGGCTGGCACCTTCCCATGCCTGTTTGTCCCTGGGATGTGGGGGAAGCGAGGCTCCCCCAAAGGACGTCTGAGCCCCTGCAAGAAGGAGCCTGCTGTGTAGGCCACAGATGGCCTTGTTCCAAACACATTACCGTTGTGGGTCCCAAGACCTCTCAGTGTTGGCTCAAAGGTGAGGGACAGGCTTCAGGCGCAATGTCTTGGGATGACTGCCCTTCTCTTCATTCTTTACAGCCGGACCAGCTGCCAGTGAGGTGCCCGCAAGACCTCTCAAGCCAGCCTCTCGACCCCATGGGAGCCATTGCTGTAAACAAACCCATGAAGACCTGGAGCAGGAACACGTGGCCTGCCTACGTGGCCTCCAGCACTCTCTGGACTGGCAGGACCAACAGTGTGAAGCAGACCAGGAGCTGCAACGCAAGACCTGGCAGGAGCTGGCCCAAGAGGCCCGCAGCATGGTGGGAGCTGGCCCAAGAGGCCCGCAGCTTGCACGTGGCAAATACAGCTGCCATGGACCTCATAGTTGCTGCCACAGAGCGGTCCAGCAGCTGCCCCTCCCACTCACCCAGCTCCAGGAAGGCGTCCTTCTGCAGGGGGAAGTTCTGGAGCCTCTGCTGGTTGTCTCTCTGCTCCATGATGATCCCGTCTCAGCAGTTGGAACTGGTGTCCCGTCGCCAGAAGTGGTGGTGCATGGTGCGCAGAGAAGGCGGGAAGCGGCTATGCTGTGTGAACAGTGCATGGAGAAAGGTAAGGAGGTGCCCCTCAGAGAGCTACGGGTCCTAATTCTGCAGGGCCATGGGGGCCGCCTGCAAAAACTGCACCAGGAGGTGCATTGGGAGATCCAGGAGCCGGCAACTGCTTTCCAGCATGTTGAGCTCCATGGCAGAAGTGCTGTGGTGTCTGCAAGGGCAACCAGAGCAGGCAGTGGAATGGATCTGCTGTCCTTCAAGGAGGTAGGCAAAGGAGAGGAGCCTCAGACATGTCTGTAGAGGGCGGGGGAAGGAGGGACCTTTAGGCATGAGCCTCAGGCAGCCTCCGGAAGCAGCTCCAGGAAGTGAGTGTTGTTCTGATGCCCTATCAGAAGTGCTTCAGGGGAATGGAAGGGAGGGGGAAGGGGGAAAGGAGCTTTAAATGCAATTGAGGCTCCAATGCATGTGGACACTCTACTTTGAAATAGCTCAGTGCTATTTTGATTGTCATTTGCTGTGTAGACGCACTATTTCAAAATAAGCAACTTCGGAGTTTTTCTTCCGAAATAGCTTATTCCAAAATAAGTGTGCAGTGTAGATGTACCACATTTTAGGGAATAGGTTTATAATGAGGTAAAGATTCCTGTAAATTAATTAGTTGCATTTGATTCTCACACCCACTTGATGTTGCATAGTCCTTGAGGTCTTAAACAAATGAGCTTTCTTCCCCCTTCCCTCCCCCCAAGAAAGAGTTGTGAATTATTTCTTTGTCTTTATTTCAGCAAAGGGCTCCATTTGTTCAACCCATTAAAATACACCAAAGGGGAAGCATCTGATGTATCCTATTCTTCCGTGCTTACCAAGGACAACTGCAATTAATTTCAAAGGCAGGACTGCTGCTAGGTTTGTCTTCCAAGACCTTGCTGAAATTTTATCAGATTAATTAGGGGGATATTTTGTGAGTGCGTAAAAATAGTTATTTTGAATACAAGCAGGAAATGTCCAAAATTGCCTCGTTAACATTAATTCACTGTAACTCACACGTAATGAGCAGAGAATTGAGCCAGAGCTAGACAAAGTTACTTTAACGCTCATGTGGTTCGCATTTGTAATGGTGGAATATGAGCTGTTCTATTTCAGTAAAGGTACAGAGAGGTGCTGGGGCCTTATCCAGCAACACTGCTAAACACTCCCTCCAATTTAAGCTACATCTATACTGCAAGGTTTTTGTGCAAAAACCCATGGAGCGTACACACCTCAAATGCGCTTTTGCGCAAGTAAATCAACAGTAAAACGGCAGAAGAGAGGGCTTTTTCTGGTGTAGGTAAACCTCCTTCTATGAAGCATAATTCCTTTTTGCGCTACAGCTATTGCACAAAAAGGTGTATGTGGACACTCCAGAGGGGTTTCTTGCACAACTATATGAGTGGGAAAAAGCACAGGTGCTCCGATGGCCATTTTGTGAATGGCCATCAGAGCATTCTTGCGCAAGAGCATCCATGCAGTGTGGATGCTCTCTTGCGCAAAAGTGCATCGCTTTTGCGTTGTGCTTTGAGGTGTGGATGTGCTCTTGTTTAAGAAGTTTTTGTGCAAAAACACTTGTGCAAAAGGCTTCTTGTGCAAGAAGCATGTCGTGTAGACGTAGCCTTAAAGGCCCAATTCTGCTGCCATGGAGGCTGATGGGGAAACCTCCCGTTGACTTTAGTGAGGGGGGATCTTGCACTGGGGAGGCTGATCCAAGGCATCTGAAGTCCACAACCCTCTGAGGCTATGTCTAGACTTCAGGCTTCTTTCAGAAGAAGCTTTTCCAGAAGAGATCTTCTGAAAAATCTTCTTCCGAAAGAGAGTGTCCACGCTGCCAAAGCGCATTGAAAAAGCGATCTGCTTTTTCGAAAGATAGTGTCCATTCAGTGTGGATGCTATCTCGCATGTAAGCTGTGATTACTGTGGACGGAGTGGTCACCAGGGCACCTGTGCTTTTTCCTCTTTCCTCTTCTTTCAAAAGAACTCCCTGTTTCCCAGGGACGGCCCACAACATTTTGGCACCTGAGGCAGGGAGCTCAAATGACGCCCCCATCCTCCCTCGCTTGGGCCAAAACTTTGAAAGGTCTCAATTCTGCCTTCTTCCTGTTCTACTCCGCTCATGGTCCTGCTCTGCTACCTACATATGCACCAGCAGCAGACACAATTTTCTACACTGTGGGTCCTAATGGCGCTCCCACCCACAGTCTGGCACCTGAAGCAGCCGCATCAGTTTGCCTCATGGTAGGGTCAGCCTTGATCTTCCCCGTCCACACACGCCTTTTTCCAAAAGAGCTCTTTCAGAAAAAGACTTCTTCCTCATAAAAAGGGGTTTACCAATGTCAGAAAAACCCCTCTGTTCTTTCAATTTTTTTTTCAAAAGAACACGATTGCAGTGTGGATGTAAGTGAATTTTTTTTTGGAAAAAAACTCTGTAGTGTAGACGTAGCCTGGCTTCCCTGGTGCAGACCCATGCCCTTGGGAGGAAAAGTGAGGTGCCCAGCCTCAGCCCCACCTGCAGGATCAGACTCCCGATTGCTGTTGCCCATGGTTCAGGTGCATGAATTTGAAATGCACATGCCACTCCATGGTAGCCAGCTGAAATTAAAACAAAGGCTGCCTAGCACAACAGTGATCTAAGTGAGGAAAGCAGGGCTAGGGCTGAATTTACCCCTGTCTAAAGGATTGCTCACACTAGTATTTTTCTGCACCTTCCTATCATTGCACTTGGATCCATGAGCCTCCCAACTATATGAGTGCAATATAGACCACCTCCACGTACTACTAGTGTTTTAATTGTCTAGTCTTGGCCCAGTGGCTGTCATTGGTGTTAATAGCATCTGAAGCTGCAATGGTGCTAGTTAAGGGTGGGAAGTAGCCTAGGGGAGACATAATGGATGAGTGTCTCCAATCAAAGGCTGTTGTCACAAGTTAAAGGTTATCTGAACATCACTTGGGCCAGGAGCATCACAAAGACAGATCAATATATGACTATTTGATCTGAGGAAGTGGGTCTGGCCCACGAAAGCTCATCATCTAATAAACCATCTTGTTAGTCTTTAAAGTGCTACATTGTCCTGCATTTTGCTTCAACTACCCCAGACTAACACGGCTACATTTCTATCACAGATCAATATACAGTAAGTATCTAGCTGCAACAGCATGAACCAATGTTCCAGATTCTAAACAGGGACGAGGAAGGTTCAAAACCTTCAATCTAGAGCAACTTAATCTCAGAAAATCATGTCAGCTCTTCAGAAGGTTTATCCTTGTACGATGCACACGAGGATGCTCCATAGAGATGGACAAAAGTACAATCCATGGAATGCCCTGGGTCTCGTTAAAAAAGACTTCTCCACACGTGCAGAAGAGTTTCATCCCTAGCTCACAACATGCTTTGCAAGGATGTGGAAGAATCATTAGCCCCATTTTACAGGTCAGGTAATGGCGGCACAAAGGTGTAAACAGTATCTCAGCACCTCACTTGAGACTGGGGCTTTTGCTGTGCTAGGTACTGCACGTACATACATTATAAGGGACACGCCCCAAAGAACGGGCAAGACCAATGGAGCATTAGCCCATTTCACAGACAGGAAGTGAGATGCAGATTTCCACCCAAGCAGTCTGAGGCAGAATCAGGAACTGAATGCAGCTCACCTGAGACACCAACCAGCCCCTTTACCGCAAGACCTTCCTTTGCCTCCTTGCTGGAGGTGACAGAGTCAGTTCCTCCCACTGATAGGAACAGAACCCAAAGCTCTTACCTCCCAGCCTGTCCCCAATCCAGGGGGCCACAGCTGACCCCTAATGATGAAATATCAAACCACAGTCAAATGTCCAGTCTCTGGGCATTTGGCCCTGTTATAAAGTAATTGGGTGTCTTGCAGTAGCAGCTGTAAAGAAGAGCGTGAAAGGATTAGAGCGCCCTTCTCTTATCTGAGAAAGCTTTCTTCTTGCTGGGCCAGATCACACCCTGGGCTAATTCCATCTGGCTTTCTCAAGGAATCCAGGGAAGGGATTTTCAG